GAGCCCAGGCGGGGTGAGACAAGCTGGGCACCCAGCTGCAGGGCGGCAGTCAGCCAAGCCAGAAATCATGTTCAGGACAGGACTGACCCACGAAGGCACAGCAGGCACTGGGGACCTGTGTGAGAACAGTCCAAACCACTGAGGACCCACAGTGTGAGTTCGTGTCTACTGATGGAAAGCTAAAACAGAATTCTGAAAAATACTTCTTTTAAACCAAGTATTTACTCATTAATAAGTGGTAAAATGAACTCACATTAGCAACTGTTTTTTCTTTTTCATTTTGTTTCCTGGTTAAAGATGTTTTCCAAAAAATATCATAAACTGGGTGCAGTGGTGGCGCACACCTTTGATGCAGCACTTGGGAGGCAGAGGCAGGCGGATCTCTGTGAGTTTGAGGCCAGCCTGGTCTACAGAGTGAGTTCCAGGGCAGCCAGGGCTACATAGTGAGATGACACCCCCTCCCCAACACACACACACACACACACACACACACACACACACACACACACACACACACACACACACACACTGACAGGCCAGAGAGCGGCTACTGGCCAGTAATGTGGAGTCTATGTCTCATGAGTCTGTGTGCAGAGGAGAGGGAAGAGAGGCTGTGACAATTCTGCGTACAACCATGGTTGATACTGTACCATACCCGACACCAAGTTCTATACCAAAACTTGACAAATGTCCTTCTTGTAAGTTTATTACAGTGTGACCACTGGAAAGCAGGCACGGTGATCCTCAAAAAGCCGGACAGAACACTCAGCAGTTCATTCCCAGGCCTGTGCTAGTGAGCTATGGAAACACGTCCCCACAAAAACTCATAAAGTGGGTGTTCTTTGCCAAAAGATGGAACCCCAGTGCCCATCAGTGGTGAGTGGACAGATATGACAACTATTTACGGGGGAACACTGGGTCATGAGATAACATGGGTGAGTCTAAAAACATCACAGCACTCCCAAAAGATCACGTGTTATACGATTCCATTTATGTGAAATACCCAGGGCGGGGACAGGAGAGCTGGCTCAGGGGTAAAAGCGCTGGCCACACCAGCCTGATGACCAGCGTTTGATTCCCAGACCCAGTGGGCCACTGCGATGGCTTAGCGAGTGAAGGAGCTTGCCTCCAAGCCTGACAACCCGAGTTCAAATCCTGGGGACTCACATGATGAGAAGGAAGAACTGACTCCCCAAAGCTGTCCTGAGTGCCACATGAGCAATGTGGCTTATGCACACTCCTAAAACCTTTCCCCAACACCACATGAACACACACTCACACAAAATCAATAAAAATGCAAAAAAAAATTATTTTTTAACAGGAAGTAGGTTAGAGATTGTTTAGGGTCCAGAAGGAGGGGCAAGTCAATGATAGCACCCCAAATGGTGACTGTGGTAGCGGCTACCAAACTGTGACCTTACTAAAACCACTGGGGCTGCACACTCAGGGGAACAGCCACTTCGGAAGGTAAACTGTGTCTCAGCGGGCACACTGGGACTCTGAGCTCAGCCTATAGGACCTCCATGTACTGTCTGTCACTCGTGTCCTGCTCTGTGAACAGATCTTCACAGGGCTGCCAAATGTCGACACATTTCTGTCATCTTATAAAAGCCCCAGACTCCAATTCGTTCACCTCATAGCTAATGGAAGTCAAAAAGCCCTGGGGGAGGAGACAGTTTCCAAAAATCTGATTCTTCACTTGGAAGCTTGCGTTTTATCTCTGGCAGTGGAGAACGTCAGACCACCCCTGTGAGGGAGCAGGCTCTCTCCACTCAAGCCCAAGTCTGAGATGAACGAGCCATTTGCTGGTAACTCCTTCTCCTGGATGAGACTGGAGGCAGGGGCCAGTTTAGCTTGTAACTCAAGACTTCAATCCGCAGAAGGCAGCAGAGGCTACCCACCCCTGTTCCTGCCTCAGCACAGGGCAGACAGGAGCTTAAAATTAGTCATTTTCCCAACATCCTTCTCAGCGGACCAACTTCTGGACCTGCCCAAGCAGTAGGAGAGAATGTGCTCTAGGGCAGTGGTTCTCGACCTTCCTAAGGCTGCTGCGACCCTTCAATACAGTTCCTCATGTTGTGGTGACCCCCCCCCCCCGAACCATAAAATTCCTTTCGTTGCTACTTCGTAACTGTAATTTTGCTGCTGTTATGATGGTATTGTAAATGTCTGTGTTTTCTGATGGTCTGAGATGACGCCTGTGAAGGGGTCATTAGACTCCCGAGGGGGTCGCGACCCACAGGTTGAGAACTACTGGTCTGGGGCCAATGCTGTGGCTCCTGTCCTCGGGTGCTGAGAACCACGATCTGCCGTTCCCACTCAGACTCTCAGAGCACTCTCCCCCACGCTTGGTTACCGCTGAGGTAAGTGTCACCACCGCTCAACATGGCCAACATGGCTTAAGGGTGATTTTGAACCCCATTCAGACCTCACAGACTTCTTGAAAGGGGGGACTCTCCTGGGGTGTGCCGACCATATTCTAGAAGCTGATCGGCTAGGCTACTCTGAAAAGTAAAGCCCCGGGAGCTTAACACAATACAAATTTCATGCTTGTGCGGCCAGTATCCGACAGCGAGCTGAGACTACAGGGCGGGAACTATATACACCCCAAGGCCAGAATCCAAGCAGAGGGAGGGACGGAGGTGAAGCCATCTCCACAGGGGCTATGCTTATCCTGGCCCTCCGAAGCCAGTCAGTGAGGGACCAGAATGGGTGAGCACAGGAGAGTGCTCCAAGAGCCGCACAGGAGAGTGCTCCAAGAGCCGCACAGGAGAGTGCTCCAACCTCACAGGAGAGTGCTCCAAGAGCCGCACAGGAGAGTGCTCCAAGAGCCGCACAGGAGAGTGCTCCAAGGGCCGCACAGGAGAGTGCTCCAAGGGCCGCACAGGAGAGTGCTCCAAGTTCCCCACAGGAGAGTTCTCCAAGGGCCGCACAGGAGAGTGCTCCAAGGGCCGCACAGGAGAGTGCTCCAAGAACACAGGAGAGTGCTCCAAGAACACAGGAGAGTGCTCCAACCTCACAGGAGAGTGCTCCAAGAACTACACAGGAGAGTGCTCCAAGGGCCTCACAGGAGAGTGCTCCAAGAGCCGCACAGGAGAGTGCTCCAAGGGCCGCACAGGAGAGTGCTCCAAGAACCTCACAGGAGAGTGCTCCAAGAACCTCACAGGAGAGTGCTCCAAGAACCTCACAGGAGAGTGCTCCAAGGGCCGCACAGGAGAGTGCTCCAAGGGCCGCACAGGAGAGTGCTCCAACCTCACAGGAAAGTGCTCCAAGAGCCAGAATTGAAGGCAGAGGCTGGCGGCGCAGGGCTGGCCGGGGATGCAGAAGTGTGCTTTCCACTTCACAACCTGACAGTACACCCTACCAGCCACTTTTAAGACCTGTATTTCACAGGTGACCGCATGTGACAGAGTCCCAGGGCCAACTGAGTTGTGTGCAGCTACCCTGCTGTGAACTGAGTACCTATCCCCATGCTGGAATCAACGCTAAACCCTTCACTCCCAAGGTGACATTAGTAGACAGTGACATCCACAGATTGGAGTGTCTCCTAGGTAACCACAATTCTGTGAGGTCATGGGGTGGGGTCCCCAGGGATGGGTGGACTGGTACACTTGAAAGCGGCTGAAGGGACCAGCGTGCATGCTGCACTAGGGAAGAATAAAGTCGGCCAGGGGGCGCCCACCACATGCAGAATCTGTCAGCATCCGAGCCTGGGACCTCCCAGCTCCCAGGATGCATGTGTGTCGTTTAGGCCACCAGAGTTCCCGTGGTGTTTCAGTAGCCCACACTAAGAACAGAGATTCATCCCACCCCCACAGGGCTTGAGTCCCACATAGGTTCTGCATATCTCCAGAGACTTTTAGTCATCCACTAGCCAAAGGCCCCATCATGACACCAGGCCAGCAAAAGGTCAGCAGTGATTATCAGAGGAAACAGATCTGGGGGGGGGGGGAGCAGATTCCAGCTCTCTAGGAATTCTCACCTGGGATAAAAGTGAAAAGAGAAGGTTGAGAAGAAAGAAAAAAAAATCCACCCAATCAAGGTGTGCACCAAAGGGGGCACCTCCAGGAGCCTGCTGGGTCACCCAGGGGGACACAGCACAGAGCCCTCGGCCACTTCCTGGCCTAGACATCTCTACCTCCTGCCCACCTGTCCATCAAGAGGCCTGGATGCAGAGCAGGGAGAATGCCAGAGGACAAACGCCGCCCGGCACAGGTCCGAGTCACTGCCGGGGGGTGGGGGGGTGGGGGTGGGAGCTGTTGTACAAAGATCTGGAGTGGGATGTTCCCCTTTCTGACCCTCCACACAGCCTTCCATGCACAGGAGATGAGGAGGGAAGAGTCAGAGGACAGGAGAGAGGAGGCCCAGATAATCAGAGGGAGGTGAACCAGAGGTGGAGGATCAGAGCACAGATTGAAGGAGGAGGGGTGGAGGGAGGACCAAAGGGAGTACTGGAGGATCCAAGGACTGAAAGGAAGAGAATCAGAGGCTTGCAGGGAGGACAGAATGGATGCACATCATAGGTAGAAGGGCCACAAGGTGGAGGACTGTAGGGAGCCCCAGAGGAGCAAGAGAGGACAGAGGATCGATCGAGGGTCGGAGGGAGGAAGTGTGAGGACTGAGGATCAAGGAAGGAGGGTTAGAGAAAGACGGAGCGTGGAAGAGAAGAGGGTGGGAGGAGGGCAGAGGAGGACGGAGGAGGGCAGAGAATCAGGGGAAGGAGGGGGTGGAGGACGGAGGGCGGGAGGGGGCTGAAGGAGGGGAGAGGAAGACAGAGGATCGGAGGGAGCAGGGCTGGAGGAGGACTAAAGATCAGAGGGAGGAGGGCCGATGGGGGGTGGGAGGAAGGAGAGCTGGGGGATAGGAGAGAGGAGGACCACAGGAGGATGGAAGATAAGGAGGAGGAGATCTGGGGGAGGAAGATCGAGGATCTGGGGGAGGAGCTGGCTGGAGAAGGAAGAAGGATCGGAGGGACAGAGGTCCCGAGCGCAGTCGCTTACCTGCTTGAAGGTGCTGCTGAGGAAGTAAACCAGCGAGAGCCCGAAAACCAGGGCGAGCACCCAGCGCTTGCGCAGCAGCCGGCGCCACAGCAGCGCCGCAAGGTTCAGCATCCCGGCGCGGCGCAGGCGCAGAGACGACCCCGCGGCATGACCCCCAAGTTCGCTCCTAACACTGCCCGGCCTCCCCGCGGCAGCCGCGCCAGCCACGTGACCCGCCGCACGCTCCGCCCCGCCCAGTGACGACGACGCCAAGCCCCGCCTCCGCGCTTCCTTGCCATTGGTCCCTGCGGAGCCCCGGCCTTCCATTGGCTGAATCCGGAGGCAGGGGGGCGGACCGTCGCCGGCCAGAGGCAGACGTTGCCGTGCCGGGGTCCTAGCGCCGACTTCACCCGGCTGAGCCGGCCGGAAGTCACGTGCCGCCCGCGCCGCGCCAGTGATTGGCTTGGGGTGGATTAGCTGAGGCCGTGATTGCTGAAGTGTCTGACAGGTAAACGAAGGGGGATGCTCGCCCATCGCTACCCTGCCGCCCTGCAAGCCTGGCCAGAGAGGCTTCCCCTGCGGGCGCGGTGCGGCCCTGGACCGGCCTGGGGACGCCGCTTGCGCCCAAGCGTCCTCTAGGATCGGTGTGGCCTCAAAGGGAGCGCCAGGGTGTGTGGAACCGAGACGGCTCATTCATTCATTCTATTGCATCCTGCGTGCAAGATATGCTCTGGGATTCGATGTTAGAATAGTTGTGCCGCCTGCTTGCAACAGAGTCTTGGGCATTTAATTTAGGACGTTGCATTAAGCTTGTAGATGGATACTTGAGGATGCTGTGTCTTATTTTCCCCGAGGATGAGTAGTTGGGCCAGGTGGAGTATTAAGCCAGATTGCAAGTTCTTGGGGACATGTTACATGATGACATTTACTTTCTTTGTAAAAAAAAAAAAAAAAAAAATAGCAGGGTCCAGGGTGTAGCTCGGTGTTAGAGCGCTTGCCTGTATTTGAAGATGGTGCCAAGGAATCTTTTCTCAGCTAATTTGGCCTTCCAAAAATCCATAAACGACTTAGCTGGTCCTAGGTTGGTGGTCCTGAGAAGGCTGTGCAGAATTAAGAAGCCCTTCAGTGGCCAGTTTTTGTTGGCCTGGGCTAAGAGATGGTCTGTATGGGGAAAATACTCCAGGAAGATGAACCTGTTCATGGAAGCATATCCTTTATTTCTTTAAAGATGTTTTTTATTTTTTAATTAAGTGTGGGTTTGTGCATGTGAGTGTGGGTTTGTGCAGGTGAGTGCAGGTCCCTTGGAGGCCAGTAGAGGGAGCCGGATCACCTGCAGCTGGAGTTTCAGATAGTTGTGAGCTGCCCATGTGGGAGCTGGGAACTGGACTTAGGTCCTCTGCAGGAGCAGTATGCACACTTTGCAGGCCCTGCTTGATCTTTTGTTGGTGTGGGAGGTGGGACAAGGGGCAGGGATCTAAGAAAACTGTAGCTGGAAAACCCAATTTAGTCTTTGCACAAGTACTTGATCGCCTTTCATCTCCGCAATGCTGAGGTAGAAGGGCAGACCAGACACAAGGTCTCCTCGCGGGTCATAATCAATGAGCATGCATGTAAATGGCTGGTTAGTGCTGCGAAGAAAACAGCACAGACCCAACAGGAAACAGGAGGGAAAAGAAGGCCTCTGGATGGAGGTACTGTTCACACCAAAGATGTTAGCTGTGTAACCCTGAGCTGGGAAAGCATTCCAGGGGAGGAAGAGCAAGTATGAAGGCCTGGAGCCAGGGAAAGGCTAGCTTTAGAGTGACTGGAGATGAGTCACAGCATTGGTGGACAGTGATGGTGCTTCAGGAACAACCTGGAACCTTCCGACAGCTCGGGTTTTACTGGGAAGCCAGGGGAAGTTCTAAAATCATTTTCTGTATTCCCCAGTCAGGATTCATGATTTCCTTTTTCTTCCTGCCAGTGTGTGTGTGTGTGTGTGTGTGTGTGTGTGTGTGTGTGTGTATACACACATGCAGGGGTGTATGGATGCTCGTGTGCAGGAATGCAGAGGTGTGTGAATGTGCATATGGTATCATTCCTTAGGAACTGGCTGCCTTTTATTATTATTATTATTATTATTATTATTATTATTATTATTATTATTGACTGTTATTATTATTATTACTGAGGTAGGATTTCTCACTGGGACCTAGGGCTCATCAGCTAGAAGGACTGGGCCTAGGGGGTCCCAGGAACCCTCCGAGTTTTACCTCCCCAGTGCCGGGATTGCAATGGTACGCCACCATGCCTGGCTACTTACCGAGGTGCTGGGGATCAGACCGATGTCCTCAAGCATGTGCGGCAAGCACTTCGTCAACAGAGCTGTGGCTCCAACCCCCAGGGTCCATAGTTTGCCAGGATGACAAATCTATCAAAGCCGTAACCCGCTGCAAGTGCCTCAGAGACTAAGAGGCTGCCAGAACTAGCGGGCAAGTGGGGTCACCTGTTATAGTTACCAGTTGCACCCCCCAATTTATTAGACGACTCAAGTCATCCCATGGCCTGCTCACCCAAGTCCTTTGTGCCATCCAAGGTCTGATGCCTTGGAGGAACCCCTGCCTTGCACTTCCCTCTGAAGAGGAAGAGGAGCCGGCCTGCTCTCTGTGGGATCCCGTGACCAGGTCGCATCAGGAACCCTGAATGTCCACGGCCCATTTCGTCAACATGGAGTTCTGAAGTCCATGTGGCTCCTTGCGGCGCACCAGGTGATGTGTCTTCGTGGGAAGTCACCCCTTCACCCACTAAATGTGTGAGAGGGAAGGAGACTTGCAGGTTGACCGTTCCGTTCCCTCCGGTGGGACCGATGGGGAGTGGGAGGCCACAGAGAGGTTTGCTGATTAGTCTGAGGCCACACAGCAAGTTAAAAAGGATGGTGTCTGCTGCTCACGGCACCCCGTCTAGCGGCTGTCGGCAGCCCCATTAGTCATTTTTCCCCTTTTGCATAAGAAGCAGCTCCACCTGTGACTCTCAGTCGCCTCCCCGTGAGATGAGGTAATAACGCTCTCCTGTGGGATGTAACACCCAGGATTGCGTGGCAGAAGTGATAGAAATGTGGTTTGGAAGTTGTCAGAGAGCCCTAGTCATGTAACAGAAGAGTGAGACTTATTTTACGGTTACCATGGCAACAGGTAAGGGGTGTGTCAGGGGACGTGGCTCACATGTGTGTCGGCTTTCAGGTGCTAAGGAAAATGCAGAGGCGCCACAGTAGCAACACGGACAACATCCCACCTGAAAGGTAAGAGTGTCCCCCAACTCCAACTTCCTCCCATGTGGGGCCCCTAGGCTCTGGATGGTGTAATGAACAATACTTGCTTCTCAGTATCTGTTATCGGAGATATAAAACAGACCCAAGGGAAAATGGCTTTGCAGCTTATTTGGCGGCTTTGCATTCCTCTAAGAACATACCCCAGGCAGATGACTTGATAAAGAGAAAAAAAAAAAAAGTTTCCGTGGCTCACGGTCTTGGAGGCTGAGAGAACGCATGGAAAGCCTGGCTCTGTGGCCACCTTTGACCTCATCACCCAAGTATCACGGATGGCAGTGGTGGCGGCATGGGTCGGTGGGAGTGATTGACTTCTCAAGCATGGCTGAGAGGGCCAGGTGGAATCCTTGGAGGATCAAGTGTTGGTCCGGCAAGCCTGAGGACCAGTGTTTAGATTCCTAGATCCCACGTAAAGACTGGGTAGGCTTAGCAGTCACCTGGAATCCCAGTACCTGGGAGGCAGAGACAGGGAATCTCTGGGCAACTTACCTATCTAGACGAGTGGGAGTCAGCTTGCTCTGGCTTCAGTGAGAGACCCTGCCTGAAGAAATACAGTGGAGAGCTGTGCTCTACTCAGACTTTGCTCCTCCTCCTCATGCAGTGCACAGGTCGAGGACCTAAAGACCTCCCACTAGGCTCCACCTCTTAAAGGCCCACCGCACCCCCTAATAGCACCCCCCATGACCCCTGCCTTTACAGTCCCTCAGGGGACTTTCTCCTTCGACCTAAACCACAGCAGAGAGGACACCTTGCAGTGGCGACTGACACAGAGTAGCTGCTGTTGTCTTAGGACAGTTCTCAAACCCAGTAAGACGGATCCACACGGATCGTTGCGGCTCATTGAGTGATCGTTCCTGCCGGGTTTTCATACATAGAGACGCCTGGCCTCTGTTAGCTGCTACAAAGCACAGGGTCCGGCCTGCCTCTTGCCTCACAAGTTGCATCTAACTTTCACCAGCGTGAAGAAGGCTGGGAAGTCCAAGGTCAGGGAGCTGGCGGATCTGTACCTGCTGAGAACTGCCGCCAGCTTCCTAGATGGCTGGCTGCTTGTTCTGTGAACCAGTGAGTTTATTGGGGTCACTTTCCGGGGACCTCGAGTGATTCCAAGGCAGCTACAAATACCAAAAAGCCCAGCCCAGCAAGGGTGGGAATCACAGAAGCTGTTACCCCAGCATCCTCCCTTCAGGGGACCTTCCAGCACATATATATATACATGCCAGCTCCTTCCAGGACCACATGCAGCTGTGGGGGCACAGGCAAGTGGGTTGGGGTCTGATGACCTCCCCGCGTTTCCCTCCGTGAGCCCCAATCTTGTGTGGATTGGGTGCAGCTGTCCTGATTTCAGGACGGGAGCAGCCACACCTTTCCCCAGTCTCGGGTACTCTGTGTCACAGACGCAGATACCAGCGGTGGCGTCTTTAGCATGAAGCAGCACCTCCAGGTCTCAGTTTCTCCAGCCATAGAAAGATGATTAATGTCACAGTTGCTGACGGATGAAGGACTGTGTCTTCATGAACACAAGGACACACACAGACGCAGCATCTATCTTAACCGTTAGCTTGCTTATGGAATCTTCTGAGCTGAGTACAGCTTTGCTCTCAAGTGAACCCAGACATCTTCGGGAGAAGAAGCCATGGCAGAAAAGCTACTGTCCACCGGGCATTAAGGTGCCACTGTTAGAGCAGCCTGAAGATGAGAGACTAAAGTTCAGAGAGGGCAGGTCCTTTAGCGAAAGTCACACAGCCAGGAAATGGCAGGACTAAGATTAGACCTGTGGTCCATTTGTTCCCATCCAAATTTGCGCTTCAACTTTTAATTACACTACTTATTTATTTGGGTGGGGTGCCGGTGTCATGGCATGCGTGTAGGCCAGCAGCTTGTGGGAGTCAGTTCTCTCTCTCCACCATGTGTGAGTCCCAGGTATCAAACTC